TTTTCCTTTCTTTTTTTTTTCTATTTTTCTTGCCCTTCTCATACTTTATATATATATATATATATATATATAGTGGCAAAAGGAACTCTTTGTTTTCAACACATATAATATATATTAAAGGAGGCCTCTACCGAATAGGATCCAGTAGCGCACCACTAGTAGCAAGAGTATCATTTGGTGTTTATTCCTTTTTAATACTGGTAGAGAAGCCAACCAAAACACACAATAATAATAATAAATAATAATAATAATAATAATAATAACAAAAGGAAAACAAAAAGAAATAATAAATGACGATATCTCCTTTAGCGTTTGCGTGGGTTTCCGCACATCTTAAACGTCGTGGACTGCCGTGTAAAGACGACATTAAACCAGTCAATCAGTTTGAACATTCAACTAAAACAGTACAAAGTGAATCCTTTACCACTACCGTTTCCAGTTCTTCTTCCTCTTATAATAATAATAATAATGATAATAATAATAATGATAATAATAATGATAGTAAAATACGGAATTCATTGCCTCCACGAGATGAGATACTCGCTTTGCTTGGACACCGTCTTCTCTCAAGTGAGCCGGCACGGTTAGTGACGAGTCAAGAAGTGGATGACGTTATGAAAGGTAAAGAGAGAAGAAGAAATAACAGCAGCAATGGTGAGAGTGAGAATTCCAATTCAAATCCACAGAGAAATTCTCCACAACGTGTGGCCTCTGGAGTAATTAAATTTGTCGAACAACAAATGGAACGAGTGTCGGTGATGAATGGATCTGCACATGCCTGTTTTGTACTCCACACCGTATTGACAGCATGTGTACGGCATGCCCTTCGCTTTAGTCGAATGACCGCATCTACTTCTACTACTTCTACTTCTACTTCTAATCATATGGATAATACTCTTGATAAGATGAGAGATGAAGTTTTGGCTTCTCCACATATTGACTTTACATGGTCGCGTAAATTGGCTGCAGAACACCTTGTAGAAGTAGCGAGGGATGCTGCGGTACAAAAGAAATTACGTTCACTATTATGGAAGACAGTAGATAAGGAACATAAACGAATTTTACAGGCAGCGACTACACTGTATAGAGAGAAGGTGGATGAAATGATGAGATTTGGTGTGGATGAGAGTGAAGTTCAGCAGTTGTTTGGAATACCAAAGGAAGTTGTAAATGCAGCTCATGATTTACTTCGTGCCTGTACATCTATACAAGATATACACAACTATCAACATCAATCACAACAACTCTTATCTTTTTCAAGTGATCGTCATTTTAGTTTTATTTCATCATCTCCACAATTTGCCTCCTTTTTGAAAGAATGGGCCACTACAGTCAGTGAGCAGCAATATCATTTACTGCAGAGAGGAAGAAGAGAGGAATTAAATACATTATTATTATCATCATCACCCGAGGAGGCTTTAAAACAACAGTGGATTTCTCTATTTGTGGATATGGTTCGTGTACGAATGGCTGTTGGAGTATTATTACAGTTTGAAATCCTCGCCAGACGCTGCGCAACAGTTGGTAAAGAGCAGAAAAAGAAAGAAAAAGAAAAAGAAAAAGAAGAAGAGGAAAAACTAAAAGAAGAAGAGGGAGATATATTAATATTAGCACAGGAGTTGTGTTCTTTAGCCACTACAGCGGGATCCCGTGCGTTGGAAACACCACATCATCTCAAACGGTTTTCAATGTTCTTTCGTATTTCTGTACAGTCTATAGATGGAGTGGAGAGGAATAAAGATCTTCATGCGATAAAGCCGCCTTATTCTTCACTCAAGTCTGTATTTGCCGCCATGTCTCTTGCAGAACCCAATATGGAGAAGGAATTCATTCCTCATCAGAAGAAGAAGAAGAAAAAGAATAAGGATAAGAAAAATAATTCAGACATTTTATTGGATTCATCACTTTCTTCTGAAAAAAGAGAAACTGAAACGATTGGACCGCAAAAGAAGGCGTTATTAATGGAGGATGATTTACTTATGCAAACCATCATGTCATTACGGCCGCCTGGCGATAATAATCACAACTCTCTCAACACTCCCACAAACACTTCTTCCACTTTAGTCAAAAAAGTGAAGAAAGCCAATAAAAGTTCAGTAAAAGATGTGGAAAAAATACAATCCTCATCTCCGATAACGTGGCACTTTCGCTGTTGTACTTCACCCACTGGAGCTTCTTTTAATGCCACAACGGCTATTCCTTGTGGGACAGGTGAGAGAAAAGTGGAATTGTTGCGACCCTCACGATATGTACCGTGGCCCTTTACATTAGAAGCCATCGTAAAGAATGAGAATAAAAATGTGAGTGAATTTAATCATAATCATAATGATAATAATGATGAGGCTAACAAGAATAATAAAAACACTAATAGTGAGAAATGGATGTCTGTCAATCTTGATAAGGTGCCTGAGAAATTCACATATCCTGCTACCGGCTTAACTGTATGGATGCGTTATCATAATCCCACGTGGATGACATCCACCGCCTCTTCTTCTTCTTCTTTCACATCTCTTGATCTTCAGCATACATCGCAGTTGCAGAGGCTTCTGGAGGGTTCTGGTGGGCGACTTATGTCAATGAATGGCTGTCCAGCTGAGAAGATTTCGTCGTTGATGCGAATTGTGCGGCGAGGTGTAAGGCTTGTGGTGCGTTTTCGATAAACAACGGTGTGCGTATATGTGTACATGCATTTTGTTATTTTGGTTTATTATTATTATTATTATTATTATTATTATTATTATTATTATTATTCCTGGTTTACGGTCTCAACACAGATACACAAAAAACATATCCTTGATAGTTGTTATGTCTTTTTTTCTTTTTTCTTTTTCTCTGTGTGGGTAGAGGTTATTTACCTCTTGTTTTTTTATTTCTTTTTTTTCCCCAACCTTGAATTTTGTGTGTTTTTTCTTTTTTTGTTTTTTTTTGTTTTAAAATTGAATATGTCTTTGTGTTTACATAATGGTTTTTTTTTACATTTACTTTTTCTTCTTTTTTTTCTTCTTCCTTTTCTATATCGTTTTATGCCTGTGTATTATTTTCACAGCAAAACTCTTCTACTCTCTTTTTTTTTCACTCATTCTCTCTGTGGATTTGAGTGAAGTTCTCTGAGAGAGAAAGGCAATACCCTCAACAAGGAAAAGAAATCTCATCAAGGGAAATATAAAAGCTTACTCTTATTATTATTCCTCTTATTATTATTATTTGTTATCAAGAAGGGGGCGATAGTTAGAGAGCAAATCCCATTTTACAATCAATACCAGTGGCGAAAGAGAAAAAAGAGAAAAAAACAGCCAATAGTAAAAAAAAAAAAAAAAAGTTTTTAAAAAAATATAGGCAAATAAACACCCCCCCAAAAAAAGAATAAATAGACGATATTGCATATTCGAACAAGTCGACATCTGAAGACTAGGTAAAGAAGGAAAGAACGAAGAAGAAAAGAAAAAAAACCAAAAAAAAAAACCAACAAACCCATCAATTGAAAGAAGGCACATCAAGTAAGAACAACTACAAACAGCAATAAATACGGAAACAAAGAAAAGAAGAAAGAAAACTCAATGGGCTCTGGAGCATCAGCAGAAGAACACCGTCATTCACGGTTGTTCCGCGAAGGCTATAAGGCCCTACTGGAGGGTCGCTACACATATGCAGAGATTTATTACGATCAGGCGATTGAGCGACACGAGGGACACGCATTCTGGTCTCGTATCGACAATTTTATTGAGTGGGAGCGTAAACCAGATAAGGGCGAACGAAAGAAAGTGGATGGAAAGAACGAAAGCTCCACCACTGCGCCACCCTCACGAGATGAACAGCAATCCTCATCCCAACAAGAACAAGAAGAAAAGAAGGAAGAAGATGATGTAATAAAACCCACAGATGAAGAAATGAGTGATGGAGAAGGAAAAGAAATGGAGGAACAATCTAATGTACTGGAATTCCCCTTAGACGGTCGTCTGATCACTGTATTGGAGTATCTGCAACTCCGTGCGGATATTGCGGATTCCTATATGCTTGCCGGTCGACTGGAAGAAGCAGCTCCACATGTGGATTATATTTCCATCCATACAGAGGCAGCAATGCGGTGTCTGCAAATCGCCCGAGATAAAGCCGCCGGAGAGGAAAATAATGGCGGTAATGCAAATCCACTGGATAATTTGAATGCGGGTGGTAATCAACGCCGTCCACGGTTAGGGATGATGACGGAAGACCCTGAACGGGATTCTATTCTTGATTGTCTCGATCAACACCTGCGACTTCATTGGGTTTCCTCCACGGCGAATGGTGTTTATATTGCCTTTGAACGCTTCCGTGGTGGACAAGGTGAGAAGAAACGTAAGAAGGAATTGGATGCCGCCGTTCTCACATGTTTACGTGTGGAAGAGGCGTTATTTAATTTCGCCAGACGCCGTGCAAAGAGTTTAACAAATGCTGTTGTATTAAGTTTCCTGGAGGCTCTTATTGAAGACTTGGACGCCGACTCCTCCTGCAGTTCTGAACCAGAAGAACGTAATTCCAAACGCACAAAGAGTAAGAATAAACTCCGCGGTGGATCCGTTGATGAGACTCCGAATAAAGGTAATAACACCAGTGTGTCGAATAACAAATCTATGGGAAATCGCAGTATGGCGGATGCCTCTGTGATGGAGCCAAAAGAAGCCGTTAATCCAATGATCATTCGTCTACAAATTCTCCCCGATCGTAAAATGATGTGCCGAAGTGTACCGGCCCCTCAACAGGGAGCGGCATTACGACACGTGCCGTGGATGGATGAAGAGATCCGCCGCGTGGTGCCGGGAACAAATTATCATCTTGAGATTCAATGCGGTATGGTGGATGATAAACGAAAGAAACAACTCCAAAAGAGGGCTTTAAAGTTTATTGTTCAAACCAAATGCGATTATAATGATCGTGTCCTGTTGGGAAAGAGTTTTGATGAGGAGAATGCTCTTTTACTTTTCCCTGTTTTGTTAATTCAGGCGGATGTGCAGTTGGAGCTCGGCGCGGCGACGAAAGGCATTCAGGCACTTGATTTGGTGGACAAACTGGCGACGCAGTTGTATGGAATGGAGTCGTTGGAGCGGCAGAGTCTCATGCGGCGGGTGACGGAGTGCCGTAAACGCGGTGGAGCTCTCTTTATGATGTTTGAGGATTAGGTTTTGAAGTCACTGTTGTTGTTTTTCTTTCTTTGTGTCTGTTTTTGTGTGTGTTTTTTTCTCTTTTTCTTTTCTTTTTTTTTTTTTAATGTGCTCTTGAAATAATAATAATAATAATACTTAAAAAAAAGAAAATGTCTCTCCCCGTGTTGTTGCGATTGCGTCTATTTGTGTCTATCAGTCTGGGTGTCCATATATATATATATATATATATATGGGTGTATGTATGTAAATGTCTCTCTGCCTCTCTGTATATATATATATATATATATAGACAAGGTAGAGAGAGAAGGGGAGAGAAAAAGGATAAAAAAGAAGGAAAAGACTACTTAAAATATCATGTACGAAAACTGTACGAAAGTGAACGACTGTATAGTATTGGAGAATAAAAAAAAAGGAAAAAAAAAAAGCATTCTCATGTATGTAATATAAAATGTAATGTCAATGTATGTATGTATGTATGAAAAAAAAAAAGGAAAGAAAAATAAATGGAATACCAATTTATAAAGAAAAATAGTTTAGTTCTTCACTGGAAATTGCTTCATTTACTAACACACACAGATATATATATATATATATATATATATAT